TGTAAATTTAGCAGGCTATCTATCAAGAAAAGCATGCATGCACATTAAAAAGTAGTTTATTTATGAAGTTACCATACTAGAAATGTCATCATGTCATATTACCTTAAGGAGGTTAGCAAACCAGTACTCTTCATAAAGCTTTCCATGTCATTTAGGTTATTAATAATCTTCAGCTAAACATTATGAGCGAGTATTTGTATATTTGTAAGATGTTTGAATTTCTTAAGATTGTTAAGACATTTTTATGGTACTACATAATTTAAAAGACATTATTTTAATGTAGGGCACAAAAGCTTTAACTGAACCTGCTTGGCAAGCATCTGGTGTGTATTTTGCCAGAAATGAATGTATTTAAAACTTGGTACGTGGACTCACTTTATTGCTGGATACAAAACTGGACGTTTTGGGGGGGGAAAAAAAATTCAGATAGTTAAAGGAGTGCATTTGTTCCATATGAAAGTGAAAAAGTGTAAGGTGGACAAAATGACATGAAATGAGATAAGAAAAAAATGGATGTATAAACTAAATAAAGAAAATCACTGGTGAAGAATGTCTTTTTATTGAAAAACTTCTCTGAACACTGTACTTGGGCACTGATGCAAAATGAGAAATGACTTTTAAGCATATCAAGTATTCATATGTGCATGTATGGATTCATTAGTTCATCTACATATCACAAACAGTAGACTGTGAGGATGTATTCACCAGCTGAATGGACAAATCTTGCTCAAATCTGGTTTAATGGCAGTGAAAAGCAGCTATGTTCCCACTGACTTCCTTAGTCTTTTCATAAGGCCCCTACATCTCCTTCTCTATCTATTAAGAGGCATGTAGCATCCATGTGTGAATGAAGAGTCACTAAAGCCCTGGTGGGATCTCCAGTCCAGAGTGTGTGAGTAACTCCCCATCCCAGAGTGCAAACGCAGGACAGATGGGTGAGCGGAACTGTGTTTTTATCATGTACACCACTTCAGCTTTCTGGATGTCCACCAGACTGAGCCGTCCAGCCTCGTAGTCCAGCAAGAGCCCGACCTGATTGGGTTTCCCCACCAATGGCACTGGGACCTGCTTGCCAGTGGTCATAGCAAACCATTTCCTCTGGCCAAACGCGAACACCCAGGAACTGGAATTGGTGCCCACGCATTCATCACGTGACGTCAACACCTCGGCCACACCCACCCGGAATTCATGGGACTTTTTCACAGTGACCTCCCAGTAATGTCGTCCAGAGTCAATGTGGGTGTCAGCGAGAACCACAGCCCAGTCCCGGAAGCAAACTAGTATACAATTATAAAATATAAAAGACTGACATTTTAAGAAATATTGCTCTTGAAGATGTTCTTAAGAAAATATTTGAGAACTATTCAAAAATTGAAAAAAGTTAAATATATATATATATATATATATATATATATATATTCAAAAATAATCTAAAACTGTCGGAATTTATCTTAAGAACTTTTTTGTTTTCTTTCAGTGACCTCCCAGTAATGTCGTCCAGAGTCAATGTGGGTGTCAGCGAGAACCACAGCCCAGTCCCGGAATCGGAGAGGGGTGTCCTGCACGAGAGTGGGGTCCACACCAAGCACTCGATAGATCACACCCGTGTCCTTCTTAAAAAGGTCCAGGCTGCTGTGGGCTGTACGCTCATCAAGCTTAAACTGCAAATCTGTTATAAATAAATAAGGAGGGTTGGGGACTTCAGCTGCTCAAACTGGGAGTTCAGTTTTATAATTATGTCGTTACCTAGTACCCAATTATTACACCTCTAAGCTACAGTAGTACTTTTTGTTGTAAAAGTTATTTTTAAAAATTACAGAAATATTCTGAAAGCGTATAATTGCATGAAGGAGATACCATATTAATTAATAATCCCTGCCACAATTAGTGATAGCAATAGCTGTATGTGATATTTTGCTGGTATCGAAGAACTGTAATTTGGGACCGGGTAAAAGAAAACACTGACGCTCTTGATGTGAGAGAACATAATGTTACATGATAACATAATGTCCTATTGCATGCTGTCTACAACAGAATTGATATCTCTTGTGTTCTACATATCACATTACTGAGCTTCCGTACAACATCAGGTGGTGATAATTAATAAAAAGGAGATGTTTGACGTGAAATTATAGCCTGAAATATTATTTCAATTCCTCTGACCTCCCGGTTTGACTGGAGTCAACATTGAGGTGCGTGGAAAGCATGCGTTTACTCACTGTTTCCTGCACTGGCACAAATATACCATCTCCGAGCTGTGAGAGTTTTTCCGCGGCCGTGACCAAGTACGGTCCCTAAAGATCTGCCTGTCAAACGGCAAAAAAGTGACATGCTTGAGGACATCGCCATGTTGTCCCACTTGTAATGGGTTTTGCTTCAGTTTCTATCGCAAAGTTGCGCTGTCCAAATGCTTGCGCGCTGCTGCCCCCTACTGCAAAAAACACAGCGCTACGCACATACATGACAGCTGTGTATATGAAAAAATTGGGAGAAAATGACCAAATTTAATTATTTATTATCAAGAGTTTGGCAGTCAGACATACAAAATGCAGTCAAAATCATCCGTGTAATTTGAACTCTTT